GTGTTTCGAACGCAACTAGCTCAAACATACCCGCCAATGCTGTGCATCAGGCTTGCCATTCTGCTAAGGGACTCGTGGGCCGTGCCGCCAGGAGCACCGCGTGGCTCAGGAGCAGAGCTGCCTCGTGAGCTGCGCGAAGCGCAGTCATTCACAGATGTTGTGCCATCCTTGGGCCCTTTCATGGTCCCGGTTGGATTAGGTGCCCCTAGAGGTTTGTCTCCCGAATTGCATGTGGAGTTTGCTCGCCAGGTGCGTCATCCATCTCTGGAACCTGCAATGCTTTCAGAGCAACTGAAAGATGCTCTCAATTTTGAAGTCAGTCACACAGCCGAGGAGATTGATGCGTTTAGAGGGCAAGTTCTCATGAAAGTGTTGCACCTGGCTTCTAGTTTGACAGGGGAGCAAAAACAATGGGCCCAGCAAGCTCCTGAGGCCATCAGGCCCCTTGTTTCCTTGATTCATGGTCCATTGTGGCGCGCCCTGCTAAGTGAAGTGCCTGTGGATTCGCAAGCATTTCTCAGGTCCCTGCAACATGGTTTTCCAATGGTTGGTCACCTGCCTCCTTGTGAAGGGGGGGCAGTGAGGGCCCATTTTGAGGACAAGGGATCGATCCAGCAGTTACGCGAGCTCAGAGGGCTCACAAATCGGATGGTACTTCATTCCATGAAGGAGCTGCCTTTCTCTGAAGATATCAGGCCACAGGTCCAAAAGGATCATCTGCTGGGCGCAATGACCCTGCCTAGACCCTTGTGTGAGAGTGACCTAGAGCATGTCACCCTGACTCGAAGAATCCCCGTCCGCGAATCGCGGGCATCAGGCTGGCGTACGCGCATAGTAGACCACTACACTGAGTGTGGGGTCAATAGGTGCACCACCCCTCAGGACAAGGTCAAGCATGACACTCTAGACTCGCTGGCCCAGGTGGTGCTACAGTTTCTAGGAGACTCTTGCGATGCTCGCTTGTGGAAACGAGATGTTTCTCAAGCGTTCCGGAGAGTACCTGTGGCGCCTGAGCATTTAGAGTTCATGTGGGGTGCATGGGTGCATGATGGTACCATCTGGGTGGCGCAGCACAAGGGCTCACCTTTTGGTACTGTGGCGGCTGTTTACTCTTGGCACCGTGTTGGGTTCTTCCTGCTGTTGATTGTTCTAGTTCTGTTCCTGGCACCAGGATGCAGATACGTTGATGATTTCTTCGGTGCAAGCCGGAAAGGGGTGCGCCTTACAGGCGGGGTCATCTTGTCTATGCTCGCTTCAGTGCTTGGCTTCCCTTGTGACGACTCCAAAAATGCAGACTATGCTGCGGCCATGACAGTTTTGGGATGCTTGTGTACAGTGTCGTTCGCCGAACGGGTGTTATACACACGTGTAGATGCCGAGAAAGCATCCAAGTACAGGTTGCAACTGAAGGAGTTGCTGGAGCTGCAACATTTGTCGCCCGGGGATGCTTCCAAGCTAGCCGGCAGGCTATCCTTTGCCGTGACAGTGTCGGGGTGCCGAGTAGGAAGGGCGTACATCAAGCCTTTCTATGCACAGGCTCACTCCCCGACTGCCCCAAACACAGTTTCAACCAGGTTGCTGCAGTCTGCGAGATGGTTCCACGCATACCTGGAGAAGTGCCCGTTTTCAGTTCGTAGAGTTCGAACAGAACATGCGGCGCAGGGCATAACCTGGTCTGATGCGGCAGGGGCCACTAAGTGGGTAGCCGCCGTTGCATCAGTCCAGGGGCAGTATTTTTGGACGCGCTTAAAAACGCCAGATGATGTCTGGGAGCAGCTCCTAGACAGAGTTGACTTTCAGATTGGTTTTCAGGAGTTGTTGGGGTTGCTTTTGGCTTGGGGCACGTTTGGTCACCTCCTCAAGGGGGCATGCTGGTTAGCGTTTGTAGACAATGACGGCGTGCTACATGCTGTCATGAGGGGAGGGGGCGGAGGACCAGAATCCTTTGCTTGCATCGGTCACCTGTGGCTTGACCTGGCTGAAGCGCAGGTGGATCTGCATGTCGGTCGCGTAGAGTCCGCTGCTAATCCGGCGGATGGGCCGACACGCGATTCCCTAGCATTGCTGCAGCGAATGAAGGCCGTGTGGATGCAGCCCCGTCTCCCATCATGGGTGCAGCAGTTTTGGAGTATGCCTGAGCTTTGAGGTGCCAAAAACAAAGCACGGTGCTGTCCTTCACCTTCGCAGCTTCTTGTGCGATGGCCAGCAAATGCCCTCGTCCGTTCTGTGCTTGTCTTGCTCAAGCTAGCCCATGATGCCGTGCTCGCAGGATGGAAGAGCGTCGGCGGCTACGACATCTTCCGCTCCACACTCAAGCAACCTTCAGCCAGACAAACAGGTTTGGAAATCATCAAGATGGTCGGCGATGATATGGGTGCAGGATGCTCGAGGCAATCGTGATCAGTGCCAATCAGGAGATGATTCGCCTGCTCAAACGGGCCGAAGGCATGCAAGTCGACAAGGAGGATGTGGCAATTACAGGCGCGCGTGTGGTGCTGGATCTTCCCGAAATCTGGGTCAAACTACCTGAGTGGGGCCATGTCCGACGGGCCGAACTCAGCAATAGCTGGAAAAAGCTCAGAGGCGGCGATTCCCGAACACGCCATCCCCTGGGTGGCTGTAGGCCAGCTGAGTTCAAGGACAAAGTTCAGGCCATGGCGCAGTGGTTGCTTGACGTAGATGATTCCGACACTCTGGCTGTCTGGCATCAGCGTGCAGCGCTACAACTGGTCGGTAGGGGCTTTCACTATCCTGCTCATCTAGATGGACTTTCCGCTGCGACTGCGGTGAAGTTTGCCCAGTGCGACAAAGGCAAAGCATTGCTCAAGCGCGCCGTGGATGTGGCGACTACACAGGCATCACGCAAAAGGGCTCGGATTGCTCAAGTGTGGGATCTGGGTCGCAAGCGGTGCCAGTCTGCTGAAGCATTGGCAGAGAAATGCCTCATCAATGTAGAGAATGATGTGGGCAACACTCTTGGATCCGAGTGTCGAGGGGCTGGTCCGCGTGTAGCAGTGGCTCGAGCAGCAAGCCATGTGGATGCCATCCAGATTCTGCAGAGGAAAGCCGAAGAGCTCAAACAGTCTTCCCGCAAGGACAAGCAGTCGTTAGCATCCGGACTTCGAGCATGGCATGCGTTTGCTGTTTCAGTCTTGGGTTATCTTGCTGATGAGTCCCTTCCACCAGTATGCTCGCAACATGTCATTTTGTACTTAGCACTGTTCCGAAATGCTGGAACTGCCGCCAACTACGTGGGTTGCATAGTGTGGGCTTGTAAATGCTGGGGATTGGGGTTGCAATGGCATGACGATGAGGTCAAGCTGGCCATACAAGGGTTGAAGAAGCAGCAGCAGCAGAGCATGCAGGGCATTCCTTCAAACCCCTTGTTGTTGGATCATGCTACAGTTGCCCGCCTGATATCGTTGTGCACGGAACTTGAGCAGTTCGCGGAGGCAGCCGATTTGTTCGGCAATTCTTGCTACGTGTTAAGGCCGAAGGAGTCCCAATGGAAGCGGGCACCGAGAGTGAGCTCCAATACTTGCCTCCAGAGAGGCATTCTGCCGTGGTGGTGGATAGGGATGCAAACATCTACCTGCGACTCAGATGTAGGAAGAACAGGCCTGGGGGTTCATTGCTCAAGCGACCGTGCTCTTGTCAGTTGTTAGGAGGGTCCCTGTTGTGTGCGTCCCACCGTATTCAGCGTCGCTTAAGAGGCATGGTGCCAAGGCAGAGATTGTTTCCTGAGAAAGCGGCTTTTTACCTCAGGTGCTTTAGCAGGGCTCTGGTTTTGCTAGGTGTGCCATGTGCCTCCGATTATGGCTTCAAGGCATTCAGAGCTGGCAGAGCCACACAGCTGGCCCGCGAGGGCAAGCCAATTCACATGATAATGCAAATGGGAGAGTGGAGAAGTGCTGCGATTTTGAATTATGTTTCTGCCGATGCACTTGATGCATCAGCTTTCTGGCAAGAAGTGCAAGAAGAGTCTAATTAGCGCAGTTTCATGTGAGGGTGGTGTGCAGAAGCTTCGTTGGGGGCAGGGCATCGTTGGGTAGTTTATGGCCGGGTCCGTTGACGGATGAAAGTGCTGAAAATCGCATGTTCGTTTATATGTCGCGGAGGCTGATTGATTTTCCAGCTGTGACCTGCCGGATCCCAATGACACTTTGATGCAGGTGTGCACTTAAAAAAAGGTGAGCTTCTGCACAGAGTCCGTGGCTGCATGAGCTCAGCATTGTTCGGAGCCTTTTGGATCCCGGAGGCGCGTTTGGGTTGTGTGGTTTCACACTGCCAGGTGTAGATAAGGCACAACACTGAGCGACGATGCAGCCGGGGAGCTCGAGCACCCCCTTTTGCTTTCCCACCCAGAACAGCCCAACCACCAAAAGTGCACGAGCTGGAATGGGTTGAGAAAACCCTTTCACTGTACCCACGTTTCCAAAGTTTTGGTCAACTTATTTGAGAAAGACCGTGGGAGGGTGGTAGTTTATGGCCGGGTCCGGTGACGGATGAAAGTGCTGTAAATCGCATGTTCGTTTATATGTCGCGGAGGCTGATTGATTTTCCAGCTGTGACCTGCCGGATCCCAATGACACTTTGATGCAGGTGTGCACTTAAAAAAAGGTGAGCTTCTGCACAGAGTCCGTGGCTGCATGAGCTCAGCATTGTTCGGAGCCTTTTGGATCCCGGAGGCGCGTTTGGGTTGTGTACATTGAACTTTCGCAAAGCTGTCAACCGTACCCCGTCTGTCTGAGTCTGCATGCGTTGTGGGTACAGTCCCTTAACGCTCACTGATGCAGCTTTAGCCGGCATGTTCCTGTGTGCGATTCTACGCGGATAACCCCAAAACTGAGGTGGACCGAAGGTGGTGGGCCCGCGAGTGGCGAAGACGAACTGCGCAACGGGGTTGTGCGCGCTTTGCTGGAGAAGCAAGTCAGATTTCTAGAAGGTCTTATAATGTCCAAGTGCAGTTCAATAATAGAGTGCAAGCCCGCTCCCAAGGCATGCGCTATCACAATGGACCCCTGCTTGGAGTACCAAAGGCAAGCTCGCAATAGGATTGCCTTGTCTACAGCTCTTGCAGAGCCTTGCTGCCAGTCGTCTCCGGCAGAATCGCTCTGTAACATGACAGCGTGTGAAGAAGGGGCTGTAGCGGCTCCATGGTCGCTGTTCCTTGGCTGCAGAGTATCCTATTACGAATGTGCGGCAGATCTTGTGTTGGCTCATGCCGGCATGGTTTGAGGAACGGAAGTGCCGGAGTGGTGCGAACCTTGGAAGGCTTCCTACAGCTTGCGAGAACCTATTGTACGTGCAAGCATGCTGCCCTTGTTCGGAACTCCGTTCGCATGTGCTACTCGAAGTCTTCGGCGCTAGCACAACGGAATCCTGCGCAGCTGTTGAGTTCGCCTAAGGTAATGCAAAACTACGGTGGCGGCCGCGTGCTGGCCATTTCACCGCACCCAGAGTCAACGTCGAAGCCTCAAAGAAGTGCGGAGAAGCGCAACATGTGAGGGTGATGCCGGTGATGCTTCTAGGTTACAGAACGGACTTTTTGGGCTGCCTAGTTACATGTCAGAGTGCAAGGATTTGCGTATTGATTTCAGGCAAGATGGGCTGCTCGTGCCCGAGCCTGGCAAAGAGAGGCTGCGACGTGTCCTGAGCTCAAATTCACCTGTACAGAGTGGATCCTGAACTTTCAAAGCGCTGTAGCAAATTCCCGTGGAAAACAGGTGCTGCAGCGAGCAGTGCTTCTCGCAGCTGCTGGACCAGCTGCACACAGCTGCATGGCTGCGTGGAGTGTGGCGAGTTGCAGTTCAGATGAAGCAGGTTTGGACAAGGGATTGGACAACTGGCGCTGGGCGTCCGCAAGTTGCAAATGCAATTGCAAGCAAGGCTGGATCGAGGTGGAAATGCACCTGCCCGCGAAGTGCTGATCCTTGCTACATTTTATTGAGATGGTATCGTCGCAGTGAGCTATAACTAGGTAACTTTCTGGCCCCAAGGGCTCGTTGATTAACAGTCCTCAGTTGGACTGCCGGGAAACCCTCGATGGGATTCTTGAGCAATTCCTGGCAGGCATATGACCAATCAGTAGTCTAGTAGTCTATCATGTGCTGGGCCCATGTCAGGAGGCACCAACCACGTTAGCATCCGGCCGCAGCGATGTACAAAGCTCCTGTCTGGAATAGCTCGTTATGTGTTTTCTCCTGACTACAGTGGTGAGCCTAGATGGCAAAGCCAGCACTCCCCACTTGCACACTTGCGCGGCCAGCGCACCCCACCCACTTGTTCAGCAAGTGCTAATTGACTGTGATTTCCATCTTTGGGAAAGGCCGTTTCCGTAGGAATGCCTCATGGATCGAAAAAGGTTGTGACCTGCTTGACGCTTCCTGTTTAGGATGAAAAATACGTGGAGCGCAAGCCGCTACATAAGAGCACTTTGTCTTGAGACATGTTGTGCCTAGATACCCTCAGTTGTGGTGACAGGTTTTCAAAAGAACTTCAAGCCTTGTCGACCTGTCCAAACCAGTGCCGCACAGGCTGACGGCTGCCCACTCGCTGGCACGAGCTGCCATTGCGCTGGTCACTGAGAGGCTGGGCAGCCCCTCGTTGAGCTGTGAGAGACACTCAGACCCTCATAGGCCCGTCTAAAAGTCTAGCCAGAACGTATGAAACTGAGCTCAGCAGGTAGCGCTTTGGAAATTCAGGCGCTACACCGTAGCCTGCTCGCGAGAGGAGAGCGTTCAGGTTGTCAATGGCTCAGTTTCCAGTGAGCCGAATTGCAGAGTCCCTGTGTGCTGTGTGAATGGGCTAGGGCCGAAACGCACTTGGTTTGAAGACGTCGCTGAGAGGTGCATGCCGCTGTTCGTCTCCTACTGCTACCGCCAGATGATAGCAGGCTGACGTTCTACGATTGCGTCTGCAGCCAACTGGAGACATTTTTGCTCGGCAAGGTTCTGGTCTGACATCTTCAATCCTTGCGTGGCATGGGCGCTGACCTCCTTTGTGGGCCGAGATTTGGTACGCTCAATGCAGTTAGCTTCGAGCAGTGGAGAGCATTGTTTAGCAGAAGGATCTGTACGCTTGCGCACACAGTCAACAGGGAGACCCTTTGGTAAAGGTCACAACCTTGGCCGCCTGTGTTGCCTTCCAGCAGTTTGGTGCTGCCGAGCGCATAGCCTCGGCCCTCTGCAATATGGCTGCAGCAAGAGGTTGCAAGTTCTCCAGTTTGTGCCAGTCGCACTCGAGGAGCAACAGCTGTCAGCAGATGATCTTCCTTGCTGAGCGAGATACGAAGCTTGTTTGATGGATAGCAAGCCAAGGTCCACAGCTGATTGTGAAGAAGAGAGACCTTTGTGTGTGGGCCGGCAGCCTGGCAGTCTTAGCAGGCTCAGCGTGCTTCTTGCCTCACGTTAGCGCTGGTTCAACTGATTTTCAAAAACACAGCATCGAGAGAAAGACGGATGCTGACTCAAGAAGGGCTGGGTGCAGGCTTGCGCCGCCTCAGGAGATCTCTTCTGTTAGCCAGCGCTGCCACCTTCAGCGAGGCTGCAGGGACTTCGCTGACAGCAATGAAAGATCCCCAAAGGCTTAGCTGAAAGTGCTGCGGAGCCGCATGCTAGGCCTGTTACATTCAATTACCATGTCAGTGCTTTCACGTAATGGATCACAACACGCAACAGGAGCAGCAACAACAATCTCATGGTGATACTGATAGTCGTCCTCTCCAAAACAGGGTAGCTTGCAGCTGTTGCCAGATCTGCTCGGCTTTTGTCCAAGCTGGAGCTGGCCCTGGCCCAAGCACACTCATTGTCGCAGCTGTGCGCATCTGCACACGTCTGTAACAAAATGGGCTGCCTGCTGCTTCGTGCCGACTTGGGAATCCAGACGTGCACGTTTTAAACTTCGTGGGGATTTGAGAGCACCCCATAATTTTAAGGGTAATCCGGACTGCAGATTGTCCAGGGGAGACCACTGCAGGAAACAAGAGAAAAGCCTTTTCATCCCAGCAACGTTCTATGGTTCGTGTAAGGCCTCATTTGGGCCGAGGCAGCAGCTGTACTTTGGAGACCCTGAAGTATTTTAAAATGTCATATCATCATCCAAGACCCTATGGCAAGCTAGCAGAAGCGTGTACTTGTATCAAGAGGTTCTCTGACCCCAAATTGCCCCCTAAACACTGGCCCTAAACCCTAAATCCTACAAACTAGAGGTCTGGAGGAGTCCGAGGCCAGGCAACTGCTAAAATTCGCTCTCGTTGCAAGTCTGCGAGGAGCGCCGGAATGGGATCTCCCGAATTCGTGGTTCAGTCAGCTTATGTGTCCTGGAGCAAGGATCCAAACAGTGTTGGGTCCAGAGGGGAACTTGAATCTCGATACATTGCCAGGTCCAATTCAGGGGTCTATAGAGATCAAGGCTCCTTTTTTCGCGGGGTCCTATTCAACCTCATCCTCAGAATTTGAGGTTTACTCCTGACATTTGAAAGCTCAAATTCGATGCGTTGCCAAATCAAGATCCAACCTCACTGGCCTAAATGTTGGGGACAGGCCTCCTAACCTGTGCATTCTGCTGACATTCTAGGAGCGTCTCCTGGCTGCTTGAATCCTCCCTAGGGAGCTAGCTTCAGCAGTCACAGACAAGCCCTGCAACATCCATCAAGGGACACACCTTGCCAAAGCCCCTCCGCAGTTCTGCCCCTTACTGCTCCAATGCCTGTTCAAGATCATGCATGTCCTTCCCCACAGCTGCTCTCCTCTCGTACCCATGGCAGCTACTCTCCATCCCGAGGAGTACGAATGGATTGTCCAGCGCTGCTGCAGCTGTTGCCTTCGATCGAGGCCAAGTCTAGCCTGCACGGAGTGCGCAGCCATGGCTTGGCAGACTTCACTCGGGAGGAACGCTTGTTGGTTGGGTTTCTTGCTTCCAACTGCAGGGAAGAAGTTGTGAAGGAGGCCGACAGACAAAATCCAGGCAGTATCCTTGGCTAGCAGCGTTTCGCAGAATTGACTGTTGCATGCCAAGTCCAGGATGCACGAGGATGTCTTGCAGAGCTTGTTGATTGTGCACGCCTTAGATGTGAATAAAAGTGCTGAGGCATTGACTCACAGTCCTAGCAAGCCAAAACTCAGCATTTCAGCTTAAAAACACGAATCAGGTCACAAATGGCCCTGCGTCACCACTGCGAGGGCAGCTAAGGCTTACCGTCGAGGAGCTGAATGGAGCTGCCATGCTTGGGTGATGAGTTGATGATATGAGCAGAGATCAAAACCCTCTAGTAGGAAACCCATTAGCGAGTGGCAATAAGGACTTTGCCGTAAGCAACGTT